ATCATATAGGTGTTTGAAGATTTCCTTATGAGAAAATAATTTTTTTCAGCTTACCTTTAAGTAGAAAAAAACACAACTGAATCCATTGTTTAAACAAGTCTAAATAAGTCTGTTTAATTGCACTATCATACACAGATCAGTATTTTAACATACGAAACTTTCTTCAGGATAACATTTCTACACATACTATGGAATACCAAATTTCCATTTGTTATGTTGATTCAAAACAAAATGCAAACTTATTTAAAAATTCATTACACTGAATTTATAAGCAATAGAATACTTCAGAAGTATAACAGACTTTATGATATTTTTTGTTTCATTATGCCAATTATCAGGACCTATTTGTTTTTCAGAAGTAGGCATATACTTGCAGTTTTATTATCTCAATATAACTGTGAGACCGCTGACTTTGCAGAAGGCAAAGACATTAACTGCTAAGGCGACAGTATTTAAGTTATATCATGCAAATGATTACTAACAATAGTGACTATATTATTTGGTTGAAATACGTTTTAGAAGTGATGGAAATTACCTTAAAATGCACCGTTTGCAGATTTCTGTTCATAATAAGATACTGAAACTAAAATGAAAGGGGATTGTGTACAGTTATGTCTAAGGTAAAGGACAAAATTGATTTCAGTTAACCAATAATACAGGAAAATTCTCATTTTACATTTGTACTGAAATATGTATGTAAGCAGAATAACATACCGTCTAGGCCCCTATTTTGTGTACATAATAAAAATAACTCAGATTTTGAGCTATACATAATAACGAATAAATACCTTAAGTTTCATTCTCATGTCATTTACTTGATTGTAGTTTTCAGTAGAATCTAGGATGTACGTTTTGTTTTACTTAAGACTGATGAGCCACCATCAAACAAATGACGTCGAAACACATAATTGGTTCCTGAGGTGAAGAAGTTCGTTTTTATACCATAAGAACGGATTTTTATCATATCCAAGTCATACAAACTCAATAGGACTCAACAAATTATGAAAGTTTCCAGAAAATAATACTTTTCTTGAATAAGTTGAACATAAGAAATCCAACCCATTCCAAAGAATATTCATGAGATTGTTAGTACACGTTTCGAAATCTACTAATCTTGATACTTCAATGTTTCCATTCAAATGAGAAGCAAAATGTGTTACCACAGAAAACTTCAGTTTACATTATCAGTGTTAACGATTATTCATTCTCACCAAAAACTGTACGTATATCTCTTGTTTGAAAGGTGTGAAAATAATAATTCCTTATAAAATCCGTTACTGCCAGTATTTCGCGTTTGCATTTAAATATTGTACACTAGATTACAGTTAATTATTGAATGCTCCAGATGATCAGTAGACCTGAAGGTTACCACATTGAACAAAAAAATGTTAGGGTTAGGTGTGAATGAGCAGAAAATATCCTTCTCGTTAACTTCTCCAAGTCCTACACTTTTCTGTTCATATTATGTTATTTCGTGTCACCAATACTGAGATTTTGTCTAATAGTTTGTTAACAACACCATACAACTAAGGAATTTTCTTCAGGGACGGTAACGTCAGAATCAATTATTGATAGGATTCAATTCAAAATAAATGATCACTTAAAAGGCAATACGGCTTGTGATGTAGACTCCTGTTGTGTTCATAAGTTCGACTACTCCCGTGGAGCCAGGCACGTCCATTCTCGCGAACACCTGATAGCATGGTTGAGCAGAGGTTTGAAAAAGACCACTAACGGCTCTATATTAACGCAAATACTTCAAACAAACTGCACGGAGGGTATGAATAAGCTATTTTCCATTATTTACCGGGTTCCCATCAACTTTCCAAAAATGCTACTGGTTCCAAATCCATCCCACTGCAGAAGTAGTGAAAATCAAGTCTAAACAACCCGACTTAGATATTCAGATGAAGCATGTGTTGCCACTACAACTTTGATGCCATTCAGGATTCACAAATTCCTTAACATTCCACCCCGTATAACCTCATTTCCAGCTTTCAAATTGTATACATCTCCTCATCCCTATAATATGAAATAATTTTATCACATTTTCTAAACTTATTTTGCTCCCCGAGATATGAGTAACATCTTACTAAGCCATTATTCCTTGTGTTATCTATCTTCGTTTATTGGACTCTACTTCCATGAATATACTCGAATTGTTTGATTGAACTATCACCTTTAATAACATATGAGCAATATCGTTTACATAATTAACTATTTTGATTCTGACACAAACGTTTACACAAGGCTTTCCTGAAGAGAATTCCTCAACTGTATAATATTGTAGGAAACGAGAATGTTTATTATATTATTGACATCTTGCACCGTAGTGATGAAATATTGTACACTTCCCGCCAAAACAGTCATTTGTACAATGTACTTCATTTTTTCTGCTTCTATCTCGATTTGATCTTAATATACCCACCTTGTCTCTTGCATTTCTCTGGGCAGAATCTTTAACCATTGCTGGTAAGTCTCTATGATTTTTGCCACCCAGTCAACACATACTATTTATATCCATTCCGATCAGCAGCGCCGACCATAGTATTATTAAAAAACTGTAAAACGAAATCGCAATATTATTGATGCGAAATTACACAATATAACTGTAGGATCTGAAGAAGTTATCAAGAAGAAGAATTCAACTCATGCTGAAACAGCATACAATAATTTGTGATGGTATTTAAGGCAAAATTAAGTAGGAATGAAGGTCTGAATAACCAGATCAGAAGATGATATCAATTTTTGAAGTTACTGGCTGTTTTTTCTGAACCATGTCGGCTAGGAATAAACGCTAAGAGATCTTCAGTGATATGGTTTACAATCTACCATAGTGTCACATGTACCTAATCTGCATCCTGCTCAAAATCTAGAATATCCTACTGTCCATCTATTTAGCCTTAATTCAGGTAGTTCTTATCCGTTATCTACATAACTTTCTACTTGTGTTGATTTTCTCTTTGTGTTGTTGCGAAGTGTAGAAACGTAGTGATATACTTGTACGTGTAAATCTGCGTTGCTGTTTGTGCATTTGTACACCCCTCACATACCTCCTTAAATTTACTATGTCATTCAGCGCTCAGAACAAAATATTGTCTGGCTTTTGTTAACACATCCTGGTATTTATACATACTGATATTCTGGTTGTGAAGAGTATACGCTTAACCAGTCAATTATCACAAGTACCCAAAACTTCAATTGTTAGCAGTTTCTAACTGTTAAGAAGAGAATTTAAGAGATAATTAACGTTTGAAAGTCCACATACATGAGAATTAATAATACTACTCAGCTACAAAAGCCTGAATAGCCACTTAGTTGTCGTGTTCTGCAGTTCCAATGCGCTATTTAAAATATGCTGTTCGAATGACAACTAGAACCCCTGCGATTCAAGAAAGTGAAACGAACAGCTGACTACCAGTCATAATTAATTTGTCTACAAAACCAGTTTTATTCATAAACTGATTGACGAAACCAATGTGGAATCTCGCATACAGGAGCATTTGCTCAGGTTGCTACACTTCACAGTAGTACACAAAAAACAGATGGATTGAAAAAGAGTGATCCCTAAATAGACAGAACAAACAATCTAAAGATAAAGGTTAGTGCGAATACTCAAGCTTTTGATATCTTCTAGATGTTAAAGAATGAATACATCTGCGCCATTGTGACCGATTTCCAGTCATGTCACCAAGACCCCTAAACTACTGACTCCTTTCGCCTCCCCCACCACAACCAGGCAGTCTACATCTTCCCATACGACTCAGACCAACGGTAAAAGACCTTATCAACTGTTGATAGGTCTGGCCACCCTGAACCCTCTTTGAACCTAATCCAACTTCCCCTGGCATGGCACATCAAGGCAAGCGATAGCTAGGCATGCGCAGTACACGTTTAAGTCATCTCAGTCGATTAAAGTTCACAACCTCATCAATTGACTTGCTTGGTATCTTTCGGTGGACCTCAACATCGCTCACACGATCATCCCATCAGATGCAAGCAATGCTATAAAGACACCTGTGATCAAAACCCTGCAACCGCTTCATGTCTTCTACTTTCAACGGCCACATCAGCCGTACAATAGGACAGAACGGGCAGCATTACATTATATTCATCTTCTGATAGATAGTCAGTCTTGCGATGAAGAAGTACAACCTCCCTAAGTCGACTTATATGTTAACTCCATTTACATGATATTTTAAGATTAGTATTATACAAAACATTGATTCCGTAACTTCATACTAGACAATGACGAGGCTACTATCCACACCCACTTGAAGCCTGTTTTTCCACTAAACTGTCAACTCTTTTATAGTCCTCTGTATTAAGGATCTCGTCATCTAACACAGTAGTAAGTGTGGTTTGAATAATGTCACCAACCGTATTACATCAGTTTTGCTTTTGGAATTACAATACTTAAAGAGGGTATTCAAATAGCACCCTAATTTATCGATTTGGAAAGCCTACAACTGTATGCTCAATTGACTTACTTCAAGTAAGAATGAAACCCGTACTAATTTGTTGGTGTAGAAAAAGGTCTCGATACTACAACATATGGAATTAACACTTGAAGATTAACGTTAAGTTGAAATAACTAACTACGGTAACAAAAAGGTTACTTGGAAGAGTTTTGAATTTTTTCAGCTTTACCAAGCCAGTGATTTTGAGTCTCGAAAATCACATTAATGACATGTGACAGTTTATGCACTATCTACTATGTTCGGCGAAGAACTAGGTTTAAAACACTTAACTGGCATTACTACAAAATATATGAATAACAGGTTGTTAGTTAAGTCTATGTGATTTTCATCGGCGCACACAGGAACTGCCAAATAAGCAATGTTGAGTTCTAGGTACACGAAATAAACCAACCCGCGAGACGGCACATCTGTATAAGCTAAGATGCTTACGTTCAGTGATGAATATTACAAACCCTTCAATGTATATAAAAATAGCTCTGGCTTTTCATCTGATATCTGATGTAAACTAGCAACAAAAAGCAACCATGTGAAAGCGACTTTATTTTTCACTTATCATCATTCGAAGCAACGAACAATTTGAGGAAGTACAAACTAAAAATTCTTTTGATATCAGTCAACTTCAAATATCATAAATGTTAGAGCAGCGAAAAAAGTATCACGAAGATTATGGTCTTCGGAAGTCATGTGTCATGAGCATGATACATCAAACGGTGAAGTTAGGCGATAGCGATCACAACCAGGAAATACACGAATGACCCTGAACAATTAATGACATTGCAATAAAATCTTTAAAAAAGGAAATTTTAAGGGTATGAAATGCATATAAATAATATACCACGCGACTACACAGGAAGAATTTTCGGGACATAAAGTGGAAACTTGTTCTAGTTGTTCATTGGGGTAACTGTTGCGAAGCTATAACAGACTTCTATATAAAAACTCGCTCAGACAACGATAGATTGTCACACTCCGGAACCTTGGATAATAAATAAAGTGTATCAGGAGATTTAGGATCAAGTACAATGTACCATCCAGAAGACTATCATCTGTGACATAACACTATTAGCAGCTTCTCGGTGTCAAGGTCCCATTTTTTCTCATGGATCGACACAGTACTTTTCTATTTGACTGACAAAATCAAAGCAGGACTTTGTACACAGGTACATCGTTTCAAGTTACCACACTTCACAGTAGTATACAAAAAAGAATAGAAAAAGTAATATAAAACTAGGTATTTCGTATGCATTTCAGTAACCGGGTCTACGAACTTTAAGGTTATAATAGAGTGGATGCGTGTTAATAGTGACAAATGAGAGTATAGAGAAATTATTCATTAATAAGAATGGGATTTGTTAACGCCCGTCGGTTCTGATATGTAGTTCAAAGTTGTTTGATAAGCCATTGGCTTTAGGTAACCATTTTTTGTTTTCGCTGAAAAAGTGATGACCCATATATGGCTTCATACCATGTCACGCCTGATAACAGCGAGAAAGACGGTTACAATTTGTTGCACAAGAAAATTGTAATAGGTAGAAATGTATATACAGAAATGGAAAACAGACTTAATACAAACTGGTCTTTTTCATAATCCGTAAGAACTCTTGTTCATTGACTTCTCCATCTCCATCACGATCAGCCTCATCAATCATTTCCTAGAATGTAAATGGATCTTTACAATTAGTTACTTGCAACTCTTCATCAGTCAGGTTTTCTCCCAATTCCTTCGCAACACGCTTAAGGTTCTTGAAAGATATTTTGCCAGTTTCATCATCATCGAAAAGGCGAAAAGCTTTCAGCATCTCCTCTTTCGCATCTTTATCTTGCATTTTTAGGGACATCATCTTTAAGAAATCGGAAAATTCAATGAATTCTATGAAATGAATTATCAAGAATACATATCCACATATATGTTAACAAAAAACTACCTTTATTGTCACACTCAAATTCAGATAAAAGCTTTCTTATCTCTTCCTTTTTCGGCTCAAAACCCAATGCTCGCATAGCAACCTTTAACTCCTTGACATCTATTGTTCCTGATTTGTCAGTATCGAAAAGTTCAAATGCCTCGCGTATTTCTTGTTTTTGATCTTCTGTGAGTTCATGTTTTACAGCTCGGCCAGTGGTGTCATTTTTTTTCTTTGTCAGTGGCTGCTGAGAAAGTCTTTTAGTAGCTGATGACTGTCCGATTGAACAATAATAACAAATGATACTCACCATAGGCACACAATCAAATAACACCGTTTCTCAGACTAGTTGGAAGCAGTATACTTTGACTAGTATAAACAAATTTAAACCCTCTGAGCTGTAATGCATTTTTATGGAGACACATTCATGTAGTAGTACATTTTATAGGAATATTTTTACCACCTACTTATCGCCAAGTAAGCATCTGATATCCAAGATCAATAGTCTAGCGTAGGAAACTGATAGCTTTTATTTCTCGATTCTGGCTCTTAGGGCTTGGCCCTTGTTGCTTTGTTTTCTCCTGCAGTGGGAAAGTAAGTACCCTCTGCCCTCTTGTTTTTAGCTCCGCTAAGATGAGTGTTTTTGTGGATTGGTCATTGTACTTTGTAGGTATTTTAGGGAGCCACGGGTTGCTAGGATGACTAATCACGAAAAGTCTTAAATTGGGGGGTTTTCATGGCTCTCGTCCGTATACAGGCCTGAAAAGGAACAGCAAGACAGTGGAAAAAGGTACATGGTAAACACCCCCTAAGGCCAAACTCGGTAGTATGGGTCTGGTTACTGGATAAGGTAGGTGCATCAGCAACAGAAATGGAGTGGTAAACAGAAAAGTAGTGGTAAGGGCCTGGTGAGGTCAGTAATGCCCTGAGTACGTCACTGGCAACTCATACACAATGACGTGCCTGATTAATTGTCTTTTGAATGAATCTATTGATGAGGTTGTAACTACACCGCGCAGAAAGCATTCAAGAATGCATACACTATAGGGAAAAACGTTGGACCTCAGCCTGATATTGGCTCTCTGATCTTCCATCCTGATGGGGTTCCCTCACGACGACCGCCATTTTGCGGTCAAGGTTAGTTTGTTTGCGGGACTTGACTAATGGGTGGTCTCGCAGGCCATACTAAGGTCATCCCTGCTTATGCGATAGCCCAAAATGAACAGATTTAGATGTTTCAGTCCTTCATCATGTTCCATCTCCCTAGTCTCACAGCCAATTTTGTTGCAGATCTTTGGGTTTTCCAAGGAAGACCAGAGTTTCCTCAGTGTTCGGGGTGCTACCATATTGAGGGCTCGGCTGCACGCCTGATCTGCGAAAAGTGACAAACGTCTTAGGGGTGAGAGCGACAAACTGTCTATGCAGGGAATGTAAACTGGTGTTCGCTGTCACTGCTGTTTTCATTCAGTCACAGCTGGTATTCGGGGTACCCAGGAAGTTGAGATCTAATTTTTTTCCATGGACGTCTCGATGAAAGCACGGTTGTTCAACCTTCATTGGAATTCGGCGCCACAGCTTTTCGTGTGCTGCCGTACACTACTTTGCACTTTTCCAGGTTGGAGCTCGAGCCGTTTCCTGATGGCCAAAGTTCTAGTAGGTGCAGATTATTTTCGGGTGCTGTACAATCCGCTTTTGTTCAGTGCTGTCTAAATTTTAATGTCACCAGCGAAGAGAAGGATGGGCTAGATTTTGTGCGGTAGATCGTCGACGAACTAGAGAAACAGAAGTGGTCCCGGGATTGGGCCTTTGGATACCCCTGACACTGCTAGCCCACACCACAACCGCGTTTCGTCTACTTGTCGCAGAACTGCCCAGCTTTTCCATACGCTTTGGAACAAAAGAACTGAGGTTTGCTTGTGCCGGCTGACCCGATCTTATCATGTAGGATTGTGGACGGGGCACCGTCGAAGGCTCCTGCTAGGTAGATTAAAATAACGTGCACTGGTTTTCTGTTATTCCAGCCAGAAGCGCAAGAAACTGGCGAATTTGGAATTTTAATATCTGCTTTTTAAGTGGTTTCTTAACAGTTAGTGTCCTTTCACAAGCTTGCATAAACCGACTGACTCCCTTGTGCTTAATCCCAGGCCTTGTGGGACGGTTCCGGGTCTTTGGGGGATTCCAGTGCGGTAGGCCTACAGACTTGCCTGCGTAGCTACGTTACATCTGACAGGTGGATGGGTATTGGTCAAACATTTAGGGGGTTGTATGAGCAGACAGTTGTGCGGACTGGTTGCAAAATGAAGGTAAAAAGAATGAAAAGACATCCACTGAAAATGAGGGAGAGAAAGTGAAAGAAACGAGTCGAAAAGAAGCCAAACGAAAGGAGTAGAGAAACTTAGGAGGATTCAGGGAAGATCTAGAAGGAAACAATGATAAGAAGAACCATAATAGGTAGAGTGAAGTCTCAGGGAGTCAGAGGGAGGATAAGGAACGGGCCAAGTTATAATTGAGGTAATGGGAATAGAAATGATAATGTTATTGGTGGGGTAAGGTAGCTGCAGGTGGGATATACATCGGGGAGGCAGAGGATCGGTCCAACTTCATGACATCGGTGGCTCTACAAAGGAGTCGCATGTAGATGACTGTGTCGGAATGATGCAGAGTAATTTGGCTGCTGTCGCATAGTTTGTATCTTAGCTGGATGGGCACCAGCCGTCTGTCACTGCGCAGCTGCCCAACCGCTTCTTGAGGTAGTCGACAGGCGGCGCAGTGGCAATTATTCATCCTTTTCATTCTCCCAAACTTATTTCCTGTTGTTCTTGCAGGCTGTGCCGGATAATTTCCTCTTCACACTGCGCAGTTAGTAAGTAGAATAAATTCGGTTCTGCAGTAAAGGTCGACCAGTCTTTCTCAGTTTCAGTTTTTGGGTCCCCAAGATCATAAGCATAGCGGTAACTCAGGCAACTGACAAAAAGAAGCAAGGAAACATTATAATTGTTAGAAGGGAAGGAAGACAAACTGTATGATACTGTTGTTTCTCGCCCGGGCGTGGACAATGAGAAAATGATAAAAGGATACCGAGCCAATTTTGCGATGAGTTTAAAGTCAAGCTGCGGGTCGGTAAAATCTAGGACCTTCTGAGTGGAACAGCAGCAAATGATACACCTTAGCTTACATGTCACATAGTTTTCTCAAAGATATCATGAGGAGGCCATTACTCCGTCCGTTACATGGCCTTCTGATAGTCGTCTACTATTAGCAAGGAGACGTTAGCTGTGACCGCAGTAAAAACTCTTCGATATATGATTCTCGCTGGATTTCCATACAATCTTCAGTTCAGAGTTGGCAGTAACTGTTTGTTCAGACAGTTCCACAGCGAAGAATCTTACACACCGCTTCTCGTTCGCTTCGCTTCTCGCAGCAGCTAACAGTACGTTGACTTGCCACAAATACCCAAAGTACGGTCACCCGTACTTTTATGACAAGTATTTTTTCCTTTCTTTGCACCGTTTTTAAGCATTGTAAAACTCGGCACGGAACTATGAAGGCTACTGCTTAACAAAACTGCAGATGGGGGAAGTCATAATGATTTCAGATGTGAGAGCATCATTCAATGTAGAAGGAAAATACGTTAGAGGATTTGGTTGCTTATGCATGCCCATATAGTTCACACTTGAAGTAAACGATTGAGGTTATACGCTGAAGCAATGAATGCAAAAACAGAACGAGACGCTTGGAGTGGGTACGATAGCGACCGTTCACTAGGCCTGGAAAACATGAGAAGAAAAACGCTGGTCTGTGACTGCAGCGGCGACTTCATTGGGTAAAAGCGTACACACATATACAGCTTTCACGGGGACAAAAATATGCTAGGTCAAAGATAACCAACTCATCCTGATTAACACGCTTCGCGAAGCGTGAAATTAAAGAGTGACGCCTATCTTGACTGCGTGACAACTTCGATCAAACTTGAAGCTCAGGAATTCCTACATGACTAGTCACTGGCTTCAACGCCGATTTAAATTAGGCCACTTTCTATCAAATCTTTCCGGCTCGGTGAATGGCTTAGTTACACTGTCTTCACACAGCAGCTTGTTCTGTCTACCTTCGACGTCGTGAAGATTCGTTAATTCGCTTTCCCCTCAGAGCAGCCCATGTGGTTCCTTCCTTGCTGAAATTGCGGTTGCAAGAGTCTCGGTGGGGTGGTAAAACAGGGATCGCGTTATTTTCCACTCTGGATGTTACAAAATTATCCCTGCATTTACGCAGAGCCCTTGACACCATATTCGTTGTTAAACTTTAGAACCTGTCGTATCGCCTTTCTGGCAAGTTTTTCCATCTGAAGACCCGGGAGTACTTTTAGGATAGATAAATTCAACCTACCATTTACATTTGACTTCTCACAGCCTTGAGTATTTGCATCATGTCCCAACCTAGTGACCAGGCTTTTTAAGCATGAGCCTATACACAGCTTCGTGAACGTCATCACGTAATAACTTTTGTCATGTTGTTGAACCCAACCAAGTGTTAGATCTCTCTTTCCACTACAAAGTCTGTAGTCTCGAATTCAGTTCGGAGACCTTCTGAATATATCAGCACATCTTTTCATCCCCCACTATCAACTCAAACTGTAGCGTCACATTCCGTTCACCTCACTGTTTAGCGATGTACATAATGATAATGGACCCAGTAGGTAAGAAACAGTTTATGACTGGGTAGCTATCATTGGTGTTTAAATCACCGGGGCGATAGGCACCGAATTAAGCCCTGAATCAGACAACTTTGCAAAAATGGATGGAATGTGTGCATGTATTGGGAGCACACCGTATAAGGTTTCGTAACTACCAAATGATAACCACCGCTTTGTTGTTAACAGCCGAAGCTCATCACTGACATCCACCTCCAACTGAAAACCTTGCCGCAAATTAATTTGGGCAAAGAATTAAGTGAGAAAAGAAAGCTAATTATGTTAATGAGCCTGGTCGTAAAGATGATGCCAGAACTGATTGAGTTACCTTAATGACAAGTTGCGCATACTTGTTGTGTTGACATTCTAAGTTTTGTTGACACGCCAGGTAAGTACTCCGGTAATTAAGATTACTTGCCGTAAAACAATATACAACCTACATATAAACTAATTCACACCCATAAAAGCGGCATCTACATGTACATTCGGGAATATGTATGACAGCAGGGATCAAACATTAGGTTAAACACATAAGCTTTTTATACGGTATTTATGCGTGAAGTATCATTTAAAAAGGACCACGAAGGTAAATAAGGAAGAGGCACACTCTTTGGCGAAAGTACCATTCTTTATGTGAGCGATAAATCTGAAAAATCCCGGATATTTAAAGGCTCCATGACTTTAGCGGACGGTAACTTCCCAACCCAATCCTGAAGCTAATTTCTATGGTCTACTGAAACCTGGGTGCGCACTGGATTTACTAACCATGGAGAGCAGTAAAACAACCTTCCTTTTGTGACATTCTACTGTGCAATCTTCTGCATTTTATCCCAGTCAAACTAGTGAAGGGTTTGCGTCTTCAATGTATGTGAT